AGTCTCCATCCCTGGAGGTATTTAAAAGACGGGCAGATGTGGTGCTCGAGGACATGGTTTAGAGGTGGACTTGGCAGTGTTCGGTTAATGGTTGGACTCAATGATCTTAAGGGTCTTTTCCAACCTAAATGATTATGGTTCTACCCTCTCCCACACCCGGCAGCTACAGCTGCTCTGTATTTGTGCTCTTACCCTAAAGCATGAGGGCAGGGGCAATGAAATGAGTTTAAGGAGTAAGCAACTTCCTCTCTAGAGCTGAGCTGGCTCCAGCAGCAAGGAAAACACCATCCCTGACCCCTGAGGGAGGGCAGCTTCCTCAGGGTGGTGGCAGGCCTCGGGCGAGGTCTTCTCCACTGCACCCACCTGCTCCACTACACACAAGGGCACCCGGCATCAAAGAGTATTAAAGGGGCTTCTAGAGTCCTGTTTTATAATAAGCATGTTCATTATATTAAAAGCGCAGGTGTGGGAGGCTCCAATGTTATTGTGCCTTAAAAAAAAAAGATAAAGCTTTGTAAGTTGTAATACTTAATTTGCAGCACTACGCGTTGCTTTCAGGCCTTTTTTCACACTGATTTCTACGATTTTTCTTGAAGAGAACTAAAATATATAATAAAGAATTTCAGAAGCTAGAAATATTCAAAGGGAGCAAGTACGGCCTCCCGGGTGCGGCAAGACGTTGCTGGAAGTTGATTTTTAAAAAAGATGCAGTAGGTGGCACTAATTCTTCAGCGATGCCCTAAAGCCTGGCCATCACCCCTGGGCAGCAGGTGCCACACATACCGCCCTGTTTCTTTTGAGCCCACGGGAGGTACTGCTGGATGTCTGAGCCCGTTTCTACAGCCGCCCAAAGAATATAGCACTGCATTTTGAATTCTTGAAGTTTGGAAATGTTAAGAGTCTTTCACTTCGGTACAAAATTGTGTTAAAGTAAACCCACAACGCTGCACTTAAGCAAGACAGTTAAGAGCTTCAATCTACTTTTTCAAAACCCTATCAGAAGCAAATCATAAATGCAGAAACATAATGTCTGGTATTAGACTTATCATTTTTATTTGTCCACCAAATCTCCAAACTTAATGGAAAGACAAAACCCACTTGACAAAATACTTGATAGAGATTGCAAAGCCAAGGAAAAAAATCATTAGACTTAGAAGATAATTTGTAAAATTCATTTCAGTATTTCAGTAACACTGGCTTCCCGCTCTCAAATACGTGTAGAATATTTCGAATGCAGTCTACAGATAACCCTTTTTGAGCTCTGCAAAACACCAGAATATTACTTAGCTAAATATTCCCCGCCTAGAGGGCAGCAAAGCATTCTAATAGTCCGACTTCCTATCCAGCACACAATGAACCATCTCAAACTGTCTCACGTTGGAAGGAAATGTTGCCATTTTGAATGTATGTAATTCCCAAGTCTACCTTTATGGAAATCATAGAAACTCACTGCAAAAGGTAGAATTATCTTTACTGTTTGTACAGCAATGTAAATGTGACTAACGTTACTAAAGAAAGAAGAAAAAGTGGATTTCATGGGAAACCCAGTATCGTTTTAAAAAGATTCTGTAAATTAACACTGCATTATTAAAAAAAAATGCAGTGGTGGCATTGCTACAGGCTCTTAACACAGTTTAAATAAAATTTAAGCTTTCAAAATCATTCATGGTCCAAGTCTATTGACTTAAAATTAGGACACAGGAATATACATGCTTTCCAAAAATCTGTGCATCTGCTCAGAGTATTGTAAATGACTTATTAACATACAATTAAGAATAAAGGCTAGCGAGATTTGTTTGTTCTATTTATGCAATGGGAATAACCCAAGCAAAACAACGCATTGTGTTAGGGAGACAAAATTTGAAAGTCTCTACCTTGACTTTTAAATCCCCATCTGAATGTAAACTGCTGGAAGCTGGAAAAATGTATTCTTCTGAAGTGCTGTATATAAAATCTTTAAAGAAGATGAATCATGCCAGCCTTGTTTTGGGTCAGTTTTTTTTCAGGCAACACATTTCAGCATATAAACATGCAAAAATCTAAGATCATTTGTTCAGAAATTTTTGAGGAAAATGTTACTTTCATGAAAAATCTAAAAGAAACTTTTCAAATGTTTTGATATTCCCTCAGTTCTCCACCAATTCCTAGTCATAGCGTTGTGAGCATTAATAGGGAGCGATCAGGAGAGAAAAGTCAATATTGAAATAAAAGATCATAGTAATTTTAATGAGAAATTCCCCAAATGAGGTCTATTATTTTTCATTACAATGCTTCTCAGATTTAGGAGACCAACTTGTTCTCAGAATTAATTATAGAGAGTATTAAAAATCCAAGTTAACTCTAATTTGGTAATTGAGGCTCTAGTTCAGGACAGCACTTCAGTACTTTTTAGTTTTATCCCAATTCAGAAGAGTATTCTCAGCTCGTTGGTACGTGCTCATGTCCTAAGATTTGAGTGCGTGTAAATCTGTGGAGCCACAACCCCATAGCGCAGGGCACGGATGTGGGTCAGGTACCGAGTTCCAAACTGGATGGCCAGCCTGCTGACTGGGGGAACGGCTGTAGCAGATCTCGTATCTGAGTGAGGATGTTGCCACACACAGGAAAAGTTGAAGGTCCCAACAGCTTCCATGGCCTCTACACGGATATTCATGCATATTAATTTCTTGTCCTTTCATTATGACTTACGTGGTAAATTCTTTCTGCCTTACTCGTAATGAACAGTCTCTTATGTTGTGCATAATTCCACTGAAGTCAATAGAGGCTACCAGTGGCATAAAGTACAACTCAAACTGACCAAAGTGCCTCAATCTTTCCTTTAATATAACCAAGTGTCAGAACATAGAAGAAATACTAAATTCCAGGCCGTAACTGTGAAATGAAGTCTTGGCACTGCTTTACATCGTATAAACCTGGCTATTTACATGTGCTTGTCAACAATCCCCAATATTCTGAGTTGTATTAAGACGGCGTCTCTGCCAACTGTTGATGAAAGATGAATGTGTTTTTGTTTCACAAATGATTATTTGAGAAAGCGGTCTTATTATGATTGTTTTTATTCTTCAAACAGGTTGCAACAACAGCTGTTCACATTACTGAAGTAATGAACTTCTTAAGAGCAGAACATTTCCTAATCTTAATATAAAAAGGTTGAAAACCGTGAAAGTAGAACTTGGCTTTCTTTCTCATTATAGGTGACAGCATCTGCATCTGACACAATGGTTGATTTAAAATTATTGATTTATTAACAATTGTCTTGTTTCAAGTACATAGATAAATATTAAATGGGAAGTCTTAAGGAGGTAGTTATCCAAAGTAGCTCTCCATTGGCTAGCTTTCTCATATTCCTCCAAAACAATCTCTTTAATAATAGCCTCCATTAACATGCACTATTTTGTAATGATATAATGACATAAAAATATGGCTTCCTTGTCCTGATACCTTAAGAGCCTACATCATTTCAGAGCAGCTTTGAATCTCTCTTTGAAACCACCTTAATGGGAAACTTGTCTTTGGGCTTCGTTTTCACAGAGCGCTAAGCATTAATTCGGCAGCCTCAAGCGTATAAATCCCTATTGCACCTCGAAACAGAACTAGCAGTGGAGCACAAGGCCTTGCAAGCTCTATTATACGTGCAGCACGCTCTTCATCCCTCCTCTGCAGGCAAAGATCAAATCCGAGGCTGAGAGAATAACTCGGTGTCCGTGTCTACGGACTCCTCAGGGGCAGTGACAAAGCCTTCGGTGCCAGATGGAGCAGCGATGCCCTCCGCAGCAGCAGCAGCAGGAGGAGGAGGAGCAGCGCTGAATACAAGGATCTGGAGAACTTCACTATTTTTAACTCTTCGACAAAATCTCTGCGACTTTTGATACCTCTCAGAGACTGTCAGAGACAACAGCAGATGGATCACTTGTTTCATCCAGCACGACATTTTCACGTTTCCACAGAAAGGTGGGCAAAGAGATGCATTTTGTCTCATCCTCCTCCTTACCACGTAGATGTGTAAACATTAACTAAAAAAATCTTGCCAGTGAATAATACTGTAGCTTTGAACAAAGACCTTCTTACACAGACTGTAATTAATCTGTTCAAAGCAAATGTTGTTTTGCTTGTGGAAGCAGATCTGCCCACATATTTCTCAAGTGCGTTACAGGAGGACGGTTGTGACATATCCCCCCCAGTTCAAAACTATACAACAGTAACTAGTAATGACGCTTTGTATTTGTGGTTCATGCATCAGCAGAGAAAGAGGGGTTGGACTATGTTTCAC